GGGGCCGCTGTGAGCCAATCATCAGCTGGCAGCTGGAAGTTTGCTGGGGCCCCTTTCGGCTGTGGATCTCAACAGTTCATAATGAAGGAAACCTCATTCTACTGCAGGACAGTTAGACTCTATCAAGAGCATTTTGATATTTATACAGATGTGGGCAACTAGAAATCCATCTAGCTGTGGTAGATAATAAGAGAAATTAAAGGAGATTTGAGGTGTTCAGCCAGGAGATAGTGTTCATCATAATTCTGTTTTCTATGAGTATATAATACTGAAAAATAACCTAAATGAATGTTTTATATGTCTTGTATACAGAAAATATTAATCCTTTGCATAGAGATTGAAAAGAGAAAATAATAATTGACTAAATTAAGAGAAAGATGTTTCTGGCTGGGAAAGCTGAATATTATAAAGATGCCATTTGTTTCCCAGTAAATATGTATTCTAACAGAATTCTGCTCAGATTTCTAATGGATTTCTTCTTTTGGACTTGTGTATTTGACTTTTAATTTTATCAGGAAGAATAAAAGAAAATCTGGAGAAAAAAAGAGTAACTCTTTTTGTTCTTATTGCTCATAATGGTGAAAATGGGTACATATAATGTGTTATTAAAATAAATATGTTACTTAGAGCAAAGAGGATTGAAAGAACTCAATGCTTTACCTCTAAACATATCAATATTACTCCTTGATACACTTTATATTTTTAAATTCATTTACATTTTTACAATAACCCTAAGTGGTAAGTGTTGTCATCCAAGCACATTTTGTAGGTAAGGAAAGTAAGGCAAAAAAGGGTTTTTGCTCAGGATCAGTAGTGATTGTTGGCTTCAGTTGATATAAAATTGATCAATTGCTTACTGACTAGGTATTAATAGCAGCTATTTTATCATAGAAATTCTGAACTGTAGGTAGGTGGTGGACTAGATTTGGTAGCTGTGCTCCACCTCTGGAGGCTCTGACTTTTTTGTTTGTTGGGGAATAAAACATGCACTTTACCACTGAGCTACACCTCCAGCCCTTCCCGCATCCCTTAATTGTGACTCCCAACTCTGCATGCAAGCTACCATGATATGCAGTGCCTAAGAAGAGGTGGCGCTTATAATGGGATCCCTTTAGTGGAATGCCTGAAATTTGTACACATTCTTCCTTCGTCCTGTAGACTGAAACTTGGTCACATGTTCAGACATGGTTGTTGTAAGGAAGATTGGAAAATATAATGTATAGATGAAAGGAGAAGGAAGGATAAATATTATTGACCACTTGATGGTTAATACCACACCATGAAAGAAAAATAAGTACACCTGCCCCTCCATATCTGTGGGTTCTACATCCATGAATCCAAACACAGATTGAAAATATTCAGAGAAAATAATTGCACCTGTACATGTATAAACTTTTGTCTTCTCTTTATTCCCTCAACAGTGCAGTTTAGCAAATACAAGAAATCTAGAGATGATTTAAAGTATTCAAGAGAATGTGCAAATACTGTGCCATTTTACACAATTTTACTTAAAGGATTTGAGCCTCCACAGATTTTGGTGTCTGGGGAGGTCCTGGAATCAATCCCCCAGCTACCAAGGGACAACTATGTATAGAAAAAAAGTTTAGCTCTACACTAATCAAATAAGAGCACATTTAAATAATTAGCCATATTAGCAAAGAATTATTTCTTAATGACTATACATACTGTATTAGAGTAAGAATAAATTGGCACAGACATTTGAGAAAGTATTTTTACAGCTGGACTTTTAAAAAAAATTCATACATAGTATAGTTTTTCACTCTATAAACAGAGAATGTAACTGAGGTGGGTGAGCAGCAGGGAAGAATAAGTATGCTATAACCAGAAAACTCTTCACTATAATTGAAAATTTTAACTCCTCCTAAATTTTCAACAGTAAGAACAAGGTTGAATACATTTTATCTGTGGTATTGCCATAAGAAATAAGAAAGATAGGATAAAATGAATGTTTTATTAATGTAAAGTAGAAAAGCTAAATTCAAATTATACTTACTATATGACAATTATGTAAACAAAACCCGGGGGAAAGATAGGTAGGATATACATTAAAATACCATGAGTGGCACAAGACCTTGTCTTTTTTATCTGTATTTTCTTAATATTGAGAATTTATACTTTTATAATGGAAACTTTGTTTCAAAACAATATCACAAGAAAAGAACTATGTTCTATGACTCTGGGAGTAGAATAAGACTCGCAGGAGATATTAACAATGACCAGATTTTGAGTTCAATGTAAGAAAACCTGTTTTTTTAGTTAGAGCCATCTAAAAATTCATTGCTATAAAAACTCATCTTCTCAATGAGACCTGCCTGTGTCATCCTATTTTAAGAGCATCCTGTCCTAATTTTCCCTGTATTACCAACCTCTCACAATATTTTCTAATTGTTTTTTCATATCACTGACAATTTATTAAAATACTAGAGAGTTTGCTCATTTAGTTTAGTTGTGTACCATGTATCTCCCACCTCTAGAATTCTTACTCCTCTTGAAAAACAAAGATTGATTTCTGTTTAGTTCATTGATACATCATTAAGAAACTCAAACACTGTCTTGTACATGGAATGTGCTAAATATATATTCAATGAATTAATCTCTTTTTTAATTAATTGTTCTTATCTTTACCTCTTTAGCCCAGCCTTTACTATTGCCATATAAACCATCTGGTAGTTCGAAGATGTACTATGTTCCACAATTAGAAACAGTTCCTTCATTTCCAGATTCCAAATCTGATACCACCGTTGAGAGTTCACATTCAGGTATTATGCAGAAATTAGTCAAATTTTTATTTTTTTGCAAATTTATTTGTGTGTTGGCTGGTTTGTTATAAAATGACAAATTAAAGTTCCTTCTTAATCTTCAGTGAAATATGTAGCTTTGCATGTCTTTTATCTTTGATTCCGATAGGTAAGTTATTTGATCAGATTGCATGAACAATTATTTGTTTAGGTTAGTGGATTCCATTTATGGAAAAGGTTTCTAAGCTTTCTTGTTTCACAGTGCCCTTAATATTTCAGTGCTGTTTTCTCCTCAAATTATGTCTGATGCAGGTAAGTACAAAAAGTATTTTTTCAAGTAGCTACTAGGTTATTAGGACATAAATACTGTTTTGATCTGACAACTTAGTAAACAAAACTTATTTCCTATGGCTTTGGTTTTTGAAAAAAAATTTTGTTCATAAGTAACCACGGTTCCTAATGATGTATGTGCAGCTGTTAGGTACTGTTAGGTACTTGAGATCCATTTGGACAGCCTCTCTTATTTCCTATTTTTTATAATAGCAAATGCCCAAAAGCCAACTTTACAAAGACACTATCAGATGTTGACATATTAAACTACCTTGAGTATAGTTTATGGAATACATCAGATATTAATTATCACTATCTTCCCCTAGAATTTTAAAATATCCTGCAACATTCCTGTGAGCACATTATAAGGGAACTGCAAATTTAGGAAATGTATAGCACCTTCTGGAGGTGGACTTTGGGATTTTTTTTTTTTAAGTTATACATGACATTAGAATGTATTTTGACAGAATATATGTACAAAGAGTATAACTTAAATATTAGGATCCAAGGCAAAAACGTTTTGATTGATGGAATAGCATTTTGGTGTTCTGTAGGATATTACTCGGTTCACTTTAGACAAATGATTTTCTTCTTGATTTGTCTATAAACAATTTTGTGCAGAAATGGAAAGAAAATAAAAGTTCCTGCAATTGGGCAGATTTTTGGGTTAGTTTTATATGAAAATGGAACACAGACTAGTTTCTCATGGCAACTACATTAACAGCTCTGATACAACCTCTAATCTCCCACTATAAAGGAGCTGAAGTACTGAGGATTAAATCTATAGTCAGAAACCGAGAAATTTTCACCTTCTGCAAAGCTTTGTTTTTTAAAACACACTTACCAGAAATAAAACAGGCTCACTTAGTTGATTGTCAGTAGGAAAATCTTTTGATACCTTTTATTGCTAGTTCAGAAGATAGAATATCTATCTACAGTAGAAATCTGGTCAGATGTCCCAGTACTTTCTGAGGACTTCAGTGTTCTGCTATCCATTGACATCTAGTTTATAGAAGGATTTGGCAGCCAAAGAAAGAACTTGGAAGACTCAGTGAAAAGGATTTGGACATTTTATTACACACTCTTCAGTGGTGAAAGGCTGGACAAAATGGAGGGCCACACTGTGCTCACAAGCAAGGGAAATATAAAGAGGATTGGTTGTATGCCTACTGCACTGATGAATTTCTTCAGATGGTTTTTAAGTATATTCTTTTTTTAATATTTAATTTTTAGTTGTAGGTAGACACAATACCTTCATTTTATTTTTATGTGGTGCTGAGGATCGAACCCAGTGCCTCATGCATGTTGGGCAAGTGCTCTACCTCTGGGCCATAACCCCAGCACTTGAGTTCATTCTTTAACTTTACAACCAAGTTTGCTCTGCTTTGATACCCGTCTAAAGATTGGAGACCAGGGAAGTGGTCAGTTGTCCTTCTCTTTACCTTTGTTATTCTTTGAAGTCCTTCTTATCTCACCACCCTGAATAATAAACCTTCCTAGGCACTGACTGGTGTTTACCCCAACATCCTCCGGTTTCAAGCAGCTTGACTCTGGGTCCCAACAGACAACTTGGTCACTTATCTTCATTTGGAGTCTAGTTAACAAAAGAGAGAAATGATGACAAAGAATTGAATTTATTTTTGGCTTGACAATAACTGGGAAGACAGCCAACCTAAACCTGTCTTCCCAGAAGCCATACTAGCATTAGAATTTAAAAGAAGAGGACAAAAGCCAAGAAATATGCATAGCATGTGATTATAAACCTGATTCTTTGATTTTTGGTACCTGGGGCTTGGACTCCCAGCTTGAGATGAGGCTGGCAGGAAAAAAGCCATTTACAGAGTCTTTCAATTTTAAAGGACCCCCTGTTGCAATTCCTCCCTTTATCCATTCCTCAATCTTGAGGGATTTGAGGCTACATAACATCTGACTATTTGTTTTTGGATTGGAGTGTAGATCCCATCAAGGGCATCTGAAGTGTATAAGTAAAAGGAGTCAGATGCTTGAGCCTAAAAGTACAGTGTAGATTGTAGAGATGGCGCCAGAGTCACAAGATACTTGTTATGGTTTAGGTACTAGGTGTCTCTCAGAAGCTAATGTGTAAAACAATGCAAGAAAACTTAAATGTGAAAGGATTGAGTTAGGAGAATCTTAACCTAATCAATGCATTAATCCCTTGATATGGATTAACTGGGTGATAACGTAGGCAGGTAGAGTGTGGCTGGAGGAGGTGGGCATGGGGGCATGACTTTTACTTTTAGGGTGTGTTGTGAGAGGAGTTGCTCTCTCCTTTCTGGTGTGATGTCCTGAGCCACTTTCCACCACATACTCTTCCAATATATAATGTGTTCTGCCTTGCCTGGGTCCAGAGCAATGGAGCCAGCTGCCTATGGACTGAGACCTCTGAAACTGTGAGCCTTCAAATAAAATAAACTTGTCCTTCTCTAAATTTGTTCTTGTCAGGTCTTTTGGTCACAGCAACAAAAAAACTGACTAAAACAATACCCAATTAAATACATTATGTGGAGGGTCCTCTCTGTAAACGCATGGCTACCAAAAGACGGAGGCAGGAAACTGGAAGCAAACCTTGGATCAGCAAGCTTTCCTTTATTCTGCAGTGAAATCAATCAGCATCTCTTCCTTTATTCTCAAATTCCTGTCTCATGAGGAGTTTTCCCAAAAGGAAGGTGGATCTCAACTCAGGTCATAAGGGTTATTGACATCATCACAGAAAGAATGTAAGGACAGATCAGGGTCAAAGTGAAGCACAGATTGATTTTATTGAGAGAAAAAAAATATAAGAGACATGATAGAGCATGGGTATTGGAGACGAACATGCTAATCACATCATAGGCATATTGATGTGTGTAAAATCTATAGTACCAAGACATGATCTGAGAGGGTATTTTCAGTCCTCCTTTCTGTTGCTAACTGGACATGTCAGTTATTACTTACTAGGGATCATTTTCTTTTCTTCTTTTGTTTAGGATGAAAAATCACTGATAATTTCACATCAAGGGTGTTTTAATTATTCTGTTTTGTTAATTAAACAGTACCACATTGATGTAACATTGATGGTGTGATGCAGAGTATGACATATAGATTAAGTACTTTGATCCTAAAGATATAAATCTTATGAATATCTGCATGTTGAACAAAAGCATTCTTGGACCTGTTTTTCTTTTAGGGCTGTGTCAGAAAAGAAGTTATTTATGAACCTGCAGATAAGTTCTAATTATTGATTTAATTGTGCTGTTTCTAATGAGAGTATCGTGAAAGTGACTTTTCAATTTCAACTTTTAATCCTTGTGAAAATGGACTTTAAATCATGGCCACTCTTGTCCCATGTCTCTTTTCTACCTGTTCTGATGTCTTCTATTGTACCTCACCAAGATCACCACACTTTTGTAAATTTTACAAAATTTTAGAATATTTGTATTAATGACACGTATGCCATCTAATTGAAAAGACAATCATAGTTCATTTAACCAGAGTAACAAAGTGATTATTTAAAAGATTTTGCAACAAATAAGTGCTTAAATAAACCCTCTTTTAAAGATTTAATTTCCCCAAGTAGTCAAAGCCTAACAATAACCTGGAGAAAACACAAGAAGTTATTTTGATAAAACATAAAACTTTTTATTTTTAAAGTTGGTTCTTTGTAAATTTTACTAAGAGCAGATCAAAGTCTTGTTGCTGTAAACTTAAATAACGAGATTTTGGCTTTATATCAGTGTCTTCAATTTTGATTTTAGAAAAGCCTATAAATAATTTTTATTTATAGTTGACACACACAAATTTCATGTAAGATCCATCCTTTATAAAACTTCAGGTTTTTTTTAAGAATTTATGTTAGTTATTTAAATTTTTAGTTCTGCTTTTCTCTTTTTCTCATTTTGAAACAATTCAGCCATTTTACTTTAGGACAAAAATCCTTATTAATATAAAATCTTTTTGTTCAATTTAAAAACATTTTGTATTTTAATGATTTTTTTCTCTCATTACATTTAAATATTTTTACTCAAAAAATATGTAAATGATTGCATATTTTGATAGTATGTTCTGAAAGTACTACAAAAATATATGAGTAATTTATAGCAAAACAAAATGGTTAGATTTGTAATTCTTAGACTATTACAAAATGATGTCATCCCAGAAATCAGAAACCCCACATTTGCTGTCAGTACTTTTTAAAATCATCTGTTATTTCTCTCAGCCTATTTTGGGCTTGGGATAAGGAAGGATACATGAAATAAAATTAAATTTCTTATGTTTAAGATTTCAATATGTTTTAAACATCACTTGATTATAAACTTTTTATAGGAACTAGTACTTAACAACAAGGCCTCAAATATGTAGAAAAACTGGCAGCTTCTTTTCAAAAACCAACATAATTAAATGGAGAAATGAACTAAAAACAATTCAAACCAGCCAGAAAAAGATTACATGTTGTGTGATTTCAGTTATGTGAAATGTGCAGAATAAATTCATACAGACAGAAAGTAGAATACTGATGATGGGCAGAAGCTATGAGAATAAAGGAATGGGGAATAACTGCTTATATATACAGGGTTTCTTTGTGGAATGATGAAAACTTACAAAATTAGAGTGCAGTATTCACTTTGAATACAATAAAGATTGCTGAGCTATATTGTAAATGGGTAAATTTTATGTAGTAGATTATATCTCAA